AAAGTTTTCTCTCTATCATGTCTCCCCTGGTGCAACAACAAAATACTAGCTGAGAATTTAATCAGTAAAGGCACAAATTTGATTCTCTCTCTCTCTTCTCTCAAAATTCCCAATTATGGGTCTCTTCCCTCTGTAAGACAAATAGTAACTGTTCCCTTGAGCCAACAAAATTTGGCCTTTCCCTCAAAGTTTAAAAGTAATCTCTCTCTACGTGTGCACCTTCTTCACTCTCCCTACATGTGTTCCAAGCTTTTTTATCACTCCCCAAGTTTTGTAAGAGATAAAGACTATTCTCCTCTATTTCAGTGTGTAATCCACCTCAAGTCATCAGATGAATTAGTTTTACTATTAATGAAAACTCTCTTTCTCTCTTTCTCTCTGAGAATCAGTTTTCTTAAATGAAACTTCTATTGATGAATTAGTTTTTATGAGTTCTTTCTATCTCTTGATAAATTAGTTTTTTTTTTTTTTTAAGGGGAAAAGTTTATAAAGAGCTGAGGCTCTAAACAATCAAATTAGAGCCCACTTCAAAAATTTCACTAGAAGAGGTTGTTTTGATGCTCAAATATTCTTAAATTGATTATCTCGACATCATGATGCATATACATGAGAAAAAAAATGGATTTCAAGTTTTGGAAATAGTGCATCTTGTAGCGTGTTTTTGGACCGTAAATTTTCAAGTTGTCATAGATCTGCTTGATCTACAATATTTTTAAAGCTTTAAATTTTATAATTAAAGATGCAAATATATTTTAAGGCTATCACAAAGATTTCTAATATTGAAACCATTTTTCTCGATAATATTTGAAGATAGGCTCCGACAATATTGGAAGATAGGCTTCAATTTGATTGTTTAGAGCCTCAGCTCTATACAAACCGCACCCGTTTTTTAAACCCCTCTCTTGATGACTTACTTTTTTTTTTTCTTTTTGAAACCTCTGTATCTCTTTGATGAATAATTATTATTATTTTCGAACCTCTCTCTCTTTGATGAATTAGCTTTTTTTTACAAAACCGCTCTCTCTCTCTCTCTCGCCGTCTCCCTATATTTCCAGGTATGAACAATACATATTATACACAAGCAAGATCTTAAATATGCTAAATGTTTTACATATAACAAAAGTGGAAGTCGACAGTAATTTTTAATGTACATGAAAACTAATATTAGAAAACATATATTGCAACTTAATAAGTTTAGCGTAAATATCTGTTACCACTTCATCGTTACTGAACAATAATGCCATAGCCATCTATAAACTTTACCATAACAACCCTCTCCCTTCCTCTCTCTCTTCTATAATATGCCATTGCCATGAACGACTATCTCTCTCAAGACCAGCCAAAAAACTGTTGCGTTGTTCCCAATGCATGGAAGCCAAAGTAGTTTGTGGCACCTCCTTACTTACCAGACATGTCAAGAATACTTGGGATTGGACGTGACATCATTAATTCGTTGAATCTTCTCTCTCTTCTTTCAGCTTTGATGTGAATGCCCTCCCATCTTTTCACACTCTCTCTCTCTGTACACATTCCATCCATCCTTATTCTTCTCTTGTCTTCTTATACACATGATGATCATCATCATCATTCCGTACTTCCCATTCAAAATTTCATGAACTTGTTCACATTTTCGATACCTTCTTCCTCAGCCTTTGGGCTCAAGTGTAAGGAGAATGGTTTGAGCCTCACCTTATTACTCATCGAAAATTGTGGATCATCTCAGCTTGAACATTACCATTGAAAAAAAACAAAAAAAAAAAAAAAGGGGGATTTTAAGCTATAAAAATAATGTATATTGTAATAAATTATCTAGATTATCTATTTTGTTTGAAAATTAAGTGTTCACATGTACGTAAGATGGAAAAAGTTTATATAAAGTTGCAACCTTAAAATATAAAATTAAAAATGCACATAAAAAATCCATCATCATAATAGGTTGTTTGATGTTGGGAAACTCTTCAATTGATCATCTCAACATCGATATGTATGAATATGAAAAGAAGAAAAGATTTCGAGACCGCGAAATAGTGTATATTGCAACACATTATCTGGATCGCCTATTTTCAAGATTTTTATGTGTTTATAGATCTACTTGATTTGAACCATTTTTAGAGTTCAAAATTTTATAATTAGAGATGAAAATGGATTATCAAGCCATCTTAATAATTTTTCATATAAAAAATATATTTATGATAAAATTTAGAAGTGTACTTTAATTGGATTGTTTAAAGTTGCAACATTATGCAAGCCACACCTATGTAAGATTTGTACTCGTTTTTTAGTTTCAAATTTTATTGTTGGTGTTAAAAGTTGATTTTAGAGTCATTATAAAGATTTCTGTTACCGCATTGATTTGAAGTGAGGCATTATTTTATTTTCATAAAGCCTAGGCCTTATAAAAACCTCATCTTGAATGTAATTAATAACTTTCTTGTTCTTCTCTCTCTCCCTCTCTCCACCTTTCTCATTCTTGTTTATCTCTCTCTCTTATTTCACAAAATTTCGGCTGAAGCTTAGACACTTTTTTTTTTTTTGGGAGACATTTTTGTTTTGGTTTTGCCCTTACATATTGAATTAATTAGCATTTACGTGCGGTTTGTATATGGTGCTCCTAATACTGTAGACGTAATGCATGCCTTTGAATTTCGTCCAGTGAACGGTTCGGTATTAGAAGACTTATGATGGGCTGAAAATTATTAATATCTTTAGTTATAAAATTTATAACTTCTTAAAATTCTAAGATTTGAAATTCTTTTGTTCTTGATATCCATATACCTTGAAGTCGAGAGGATCAAATTGGAAAAATTTTCTGACATAAAAGATGTTTTAGGTGCACCTTCCTTCAGTAGTAGAAGATTAATAGCTTACATAAATTTATCCCTTAAACATTTTAGCCTAATCGATGGTCAGTTATTGGGCTACTTTAAAATTTTATTAAAGGAATGATGGTCTATTGCTCTTTCTCTCTCTTCAATTTCACGTAATTTTGGTTGGGACTTGGACTATCTTTTGGTTTTGGGGAATTTATGACGATATTTTTTTTGTGACAAGGTTAAAAGTTTTATTAAAAGAGAACATGTTACAATGAACTGAACATCCACATGTACACCATCTCCATAAATTAACAAAAGGGAGCTCCACACCTCGCCTAGCCAATCCGACCATATTGGCGATCTAACTGGTGAAACCGCTGACCGATATCTTGGCTGGTCTGATCTAAAGTAAAAATTAAGTTTAGTCGAAAACTGGCCAAAATCAATATTTAACTTTGTTTTGGCGGAATCAGATCAACCAATTTAACTAAATTTGATTGGCTAAATGAAGTTGGATAAATATATTAAAATCCGGTGCAACTACTAGATGAGACTATTCCTCCTTCCCTTCTTTTGTTTTTTTTTTTTTCAAAGGTAATTCAGTGGAAAAGACAGGCCCTACCTATTTTTTCAAACAGATTAGGGGTTAGCCTTTTTTAAAGTATTAGTAAGATGATATTAGTGGTGAGAATTGAAACTACAACATAATGATTAAAATGTGTGTGCTACCACCGTGACCCCAGCCCTTTTCCCAAAGGTTGAGAAGGGACTTTATCCTCTTATGAAAGCACCTCTCGGAGCGGTAGAACTATCATGCCATTTGGTGACTAGTAGATAAGTGTATATACACCAGTAGGTGCATGATACATGGCATCCACCATTAGTTCTTGATGAGAGATGGATGGAGTTCAGCTGTAGTTCCCAAATATGTACACTGGCCGTTTGGAAAATGAACGAAAGGAACTCTCACAGTTTACCATACCAGTACACCAAAGGTAAAAACCTTCCCTTCGCTAAAACAGTATTCTAAAACTCGGGTGAGTCTACTGAGACTCGGTATCGCTACTCAGACTCGGAAAGGTGCTATGTTCAAGCTTGAACTGGCCAAAGGCAGTTGGTTCCTATATTCTACTCCTTCATTTTGTACAGACTCGGCCAAGTTTGTACGGATCACTCGGACTAGAGGTTCTACCACTTTATTTGGTACATACTTGTTGAGTTTGACGACTCGGAATAGAGACCTTGAGTGTCGAGTTTAGTTTATGAACCTTGCTAAAATCCTAACTAGATATATGAATTTTTTTTTTATTTTTAAGTAATTCAGTAAGGAAAATAGGCCCTTAATTGTTTTTCCAAATAGCTCAGGAGCTAATTTTTTTAAAACGTTGGTGACAATGAGAATGTAAATCATAATGTGGGGACTAGAGTGTCCGGATGACATACGAACCGTTTAATAAAGGAAGCCCTATTTTATTGATAAAATAAAAGTACTAATTTACCCTCAACAAGCAATCAATAACAACGCACAATTCACTGAAATGTAGGTCCAAACAATGAGAGGTTTACCCCTGATGAGTCGTACCACTGAAAATGACTAACCATTGCTAGCAATGAAAAAGGTCTACCATTTGGCCCCATGAAAATTAGCATCTCAACCTAAAAACTACTACTTTTTCACCACCTCAACTATTTCATGCTAAAAATAAAACACAAAATTTTAACACCAATCAGACCGACCAGAAAATTACCATTTTACCCCCACATAAGTGGGGGCAACAAAATGATTATTTTACCCCCAATCAGCATGGCAGCGAAAAAGCAGGCAGCAATAAAGTACCCCACCCATTTGCTGCTTCTGTTCCTTTAGACCTACTTGACTGTCAAAAAACAGAGCCTTCATGAATGCCTGGAAACCAGACACTAAAAAACCAAAAGAGTAGAGTATGCGGCCTCAAATTCCTCAAAAAAAAGAGGATATATATATATATATATATATAAAGAGAGAGAGAGAGAGAGAGAGAGACCCATATCTGTTCTTCTCTGATTCAAACAGAAAGCAAGGCAGGATCCCCTGCTTTCTTGCACACATTATTTAACCGTTTGCTTGGCCAGACGGTTCTCAGACATAAATAAAAAACAGCCAAGGAGAAATAGGAGAGAGAAAATTTGATCATGACAGAAAGCATGAACGGATGAGAACAGTACTAGAGAGAGGTTCTATTGAATTATGGCAGAAAGCATGAAGTTAAGAGAGTACTAAAGAGAGGTTTCATAAGCAGGAGATCTGATGAGCCATAGCCATGTCAAATCTGAATGACCAGGTCTAATGCCTGGTGTCTTCTGAACCAGATGACTCCCCTCCGTTGATCAATGATCTGCACAAGAAACAATTTCAGGGCTTTGAAGCAAGAAAGATGTACAGGAAGTGAAAGGGTACCAGGAAACACGGATACTGTTGCAAAAAAAATCAGATTCGGAGCCACCCCAATTCTTTTCATGAAAGGCACAAGTACCAGACGATTCTTAAATGTGCACCATACTCTTGGAAATGGCATCCTATACTCTCTCTCTCTCTAAACACTCTCCATATTCAATTTAAGAGGAGTACATGTACATCTCTATATGTATATTCTTTATAATCATTTCTAAAAATCATAAAATTTGAAGAAATTGATTGTTTTCATTGAACTATTGAAACTGAAATCATTCTCTTGGAATTTGATGAGCAGAATGGGTTATTCGACGTGAAGTGTGGGTGTTTTGGTCATGCATAATATTCTATCTCACTTACCATGGAGGGGAACGGGAATTGGTTGCAGAGAAGTCAGAGGAAGCCATAGGAATAGAAATTGAGAGTTGGGTTGTGGAGAAAGAAGCCCTGTCCTCAAGTTGAGACCATGAGTCTCTAGTTTTTGGCCATTCATCAAAGAAATGCCTTAGCATTTGGCCTTCCGGTTCTTTCTCCACCTTAACTGGTTGTTGTGGCCTCAAGTTGCCACCCAAGAACCAGTATTGTTGTTGATTTTGAGGCTGCTGTTTAGAGAGATGTTGAAGGTTCTCAAATTGCGAATAATCACTTGATATGTTATCGATTTTCGCAGCCCCTGAAGCTTCTGAGAAGAAGAGATGCTCACCCACTTCTTCCTTTAGCCCATGAAAATACCTGTCCAGAGAGAGAGAGGAGGAGGAGGACGAGGAGGAGGATTATAAACCGGTGGAAATGAATTAAGAGATTGAATTGTTTTGTCACAGTTAGCCAATGGAGGAAAAATAAATAAAAAAAGAAAGAAAAGGTAGAGAGACACCCAAAGATGCTTTCCTTTCCCTCCAATAACACTTTTCAAATGAAAATAAAAAGAATCCTTCAAGAAAAAGTCAGAAGCTGATACGATGTTGGAAAAGAAAGGATTCACCCCCCTCTTCCTTTATCTCCATAATGAAAAACAAAAACTTATTATTGAGAAATTAGAGGGAAATTTACAAAAATACACTTCAAAAAATTTGAATTATCTAAGATTTTACCAATGGGTAACATGTGAACTAGTTCCAGTTTAAGGTGTAGTTGGACATATTCAACAAAATTTAATGATGCTCTTCAAAGCAAATACTTGGTAGTTTCTCAAAAAAACCAAACTTTCATAAAAGAACTTCAAGAAAAAACAAAGCTGATGACGTTGAATTGGAAAAGGAGCTTTCTTTTGCTGCTTCTCTTGTCTCCCTCTAAAGCCAACAAAGAAACAATTCAGAGGAAACCAATGTTTTCATGATGAAGGAGACACAGAAGCTTTCTTCTCTCATTCTTCACTTTGAAACCAAACTGAAAGACAAAGAAGCTACAGAACTACCTAAGCTGAAGACGATCACTAAAGAACTCTCTCTCTCTCTCTCTCTCTCTCTTTTATCAGATTACAGGGTAAAAATTGTAATTACTTACTTGTAATCCTTATCAGCGGAAGAGTAAGATCCAGAGTCAAGGTGGAAATGGGTATTGCTATTTGGCGGCGAAAGCCCGAAATCAGGAGGTCTCGAAGATGAAGAATGGTGATTTTGTAAGGCTTGGAGATGGATATTATTGTAAGAATGGTGAGAAGCCATTAAAGAAGAAGAAGACGATGAAGAACATGTGGAAGAGGAAGAAGGGTTCAGGATAAGAGAGGAGGTTTCCACAGGCTTTCTTGAACGGTTACGGCCTCTGTGCATATGGCGTTCACAGTACTTGGAGTCAGGGAATGCATCTTTAGAGCACCTCCATTTCTTCCCATCTGTTCTCCTGCATCTTCCTGGTTCAGGGTCTGCTTTCCTACCAAAACCCATCTGAAAACAACCCCACCCCACTGCCACAAAAACAGACAAATCCTAATCAATACACATAAATTTAGAGAGAGAGAGAGAGAGAGAGAGAGAGAGAATCCACCAACAAGAAATGACAAAAAGAAAATAAACAGAGCCAAGAAAAATCAAATCTTTCAAAATAGAACTCATATTACCCAATAAGCAATAGCCAAGAAAATAAAATAACCTGCTAAAACAAAAAGTAGAGAGAGAGAGAGAGGAG